GGCTTCAGGCTTATTGTCATGGTTTCTCCTGCTGCAAAGCTGATCCCCATGTGTGGATTTGGAGGCTCGAATGACGCTTCGATTGACTTTTCTGTGCTGATTTCTCGTGTTAGATTCTCTGATGATTTGCTTACTGATATGCTTATGATGTTTGCCTGCATTGCTGGTGTAATTTGCAGTGCAATTCTTGAAGGAAAGTGTTTTTCAGATGTTCCTACACCCCGCTCCTTCATGAGTTTATCTGTCACCAGCTTCATAACATCACACCTGGTTCAAATCAATAGGACAAGAATTTAAAATAAAACAAACAAAAACCTGGTTCAAATCAATAGGACAAGAATTTAAAATAAAACAAAAAAAAAAGGAAGAAAGAAAGAAAGAAAAAAAAAAAAATCTATAAACAAAAAAAAAAGGAAGAAAGAAAGAAAGAAAAATAAAATCTTCAAGAATAGGCCTTGAATGCATTATTTTAAAAATAAAACTTTTCGCAATGTTCAGAAAGCGTTGTGAAAAAAGTAACATAGGCATCATTTTTAAAATAAATGTTGTCAAAACTCAATTACATTGACTAATTGCTATATTCACTTATTAAAATATTACAATAGATTCCTTTAGCAACTCTTAATTACCGAATGTTACCTTTTATGTGCTGTAAATGATCATTTTTGGTGTAGTGAAGGTTTGATCTTACTATCAATAAAATTTGAGGCTAGGATTTTCAAAATAAATAACTTATTTATTTTCAACTCTTACTAATAAAAATATAATATTTTAAGACTTGCTTCGAGTGTTTTCATAACTGATACATATTGTTCAAGAATTAACTCGCAAGTCCTAGACCTAGCTAGAACCATTATCATCCATTGAGATTACTCAATATTGAACAAAATTTTGAGGGTTCTTAATTTCTCGTTCTAACTCTCAATATTTTGTATCAAACAAGTTCGTAGCTCTTTGTTTCCTAGTATTCGTGTAGAAAATCAACGAGAAATTCAAACCTTCATAAAGCCCTTTTTCGTGCACGCTATGAATTAATAATTCAAAAAACAAAGTAAATGTACCTGATGTTATCTGTGTTTACTCTGACTTCAATCCACTTTTCTTGAACGATCACCTTATGATTAAGCTGTATCACCCCCTCCAGTTGGTGATAATTAAGAGAGAAAAGCAAATTTTCATCTGGGGAAGGACTGCTTGACTTCTCGACTAACATAGATATGACTGGACAATACAACTGAACTTTCCACAACCCGTATGTGGAAAACGAGTAAGAAAACAAAGGAGAAGGAGTTTTACAGTTACTACTTGGGCAATCTGCATTTTCACCTTGTAATTCTAAAATCCAATTAGTAATTGCAAGATTTATAGAACGCATCCACTGTTCTTCTGTGTTAGACCCCAAAATCCTCATCAATTTCTTGGAAACTTCTCTTGATTTTGGGCATGCAAATTGATCTTTCAGGGTTGAAAGACATGAAGATCTAAGATCAGATGTAGCTTCGTATATGCAAATAATAAAAGTAAGGCTAAGAAATGAGAAATTAAACAGATCTTTAAAATTATTTTCAGAGTAAATACTTCTTGGAAATCTAAGCAAATTAGAGGAAATACTTCTGTTTGGACTGTACGAAAGAACGTTTTCGATGATATTATGGAAGAGAAATGAAACTGTTTCATGATCGTCTAGAAGTTTCTTTGATATGGGATTTGGTGAAAAGGTTTTAGAGTTCCAGAGAGAGAGAGGGAGATTATAATCTGCGCATATAGAGAGAGAGAATGATGAGTTATAGTTCTTAATTGAGAGTTTCAAGGAAGGGATTGATGAAAATGGGCATAGATTCATGGACATGGAATCTGTTTTCCATTGGGGGATTGGTGGAAGGTTTTCGAGCCAGGCATATACATCAGGAAAAGAAGAAGAAGAAGAAGCCATGAAAATTTTGTTAAGAATTTATCAGTTTGTTGTTTGTGATATTGAACTCTATGGTTTTATTTAAAGACCATAAAAATCTAAAGCAATATTCTCAATGGGAAAAAAGTCATATGACGATAGAGAATATAACAAGCAACGTGACTAGATACACAGTAACCAGACTTTAAATTATTTTCCTTCTTTTTATCGTGTTTTTAACGTTGCGAAATTCAGCAAACCGAACACGAATAGAGTGATAAAAAACGATTGTGGAGTCATATCAAGAATATAATGGTGATCATGTCTGGTATGTAGTACTCTACAATATAATTGACGAGATCCTAACTTCTTTTCTTATTGAGATCAACACGCCAAACATGTAAGAAATTTACGATTAAAGTACAATAGATTTAGCAACAAAGTAACTAAAAGATATCCATCTACTCAACCCTTAAAGCACGTTAG